AATAATAGCAGTATGTTATGCATCGATAGCAGCAACAGCTTTTCGAGGTTCTGCAGTCATCTGAACAATATTATAGACATTCAGCACATTCCATTAAAAAAAACAAAACAAACAAAAATCAAAGAAAAGAATAATATCCAGAAAACAGCAAAGTTCTATTGCTGTTATGATACCTGGCACCATTTTTTTTATTAGCATCTTAATCATCATCTGTAAAGAGAACATTCTAGAGTAATATCATTAAATATAGCTCTGATAAAGCACGGTCACTACTATGTATCATAAAGCAGGTACAAGATATTTTACATTCACAAAGGTATGATATAGTACCATCCTACATCAATAATACTAGAATCAGTTTTGATTTGAAATTTGCTTTGTCTGCAAATAAGATTGCTATCCCTGTTTTTTTTCGGGGCTCCTGTCACATGGAGAATTGTTTTCTATCCTATTCACTTTCAGTCTATGGGCTTCTTTTTGCACTGTGTGTTTCTTGTATACAACATATTGTTGGATTTTGCTTCTTATTCCATTTTGCCAGTCTATTTCTCTTGATTGGTGAGTTGAGGCCATTGACATTGATGGTTATAACTGATATGCATTGACTTATTATTGACATGTTATTGGCCTTTTGTTGACTCTTTTTACTTTTTCACCTTCTCCTTTTAGTTTCTTGCCTTGCCTATTTGATTTGCTCTGTTGGGCCTCATGGTGTTGTTGCCTTCATTGTCTTTTTCTAGGATCTTGTTTAGAATTGCTTGTAGTGCTGGTTTGGTATTCATGTAGTTTCTCAGGTGTTCTTTGTCGTGGAAGTGTCTTATTTCCCCATCCATTTTGAAAGAGAGTTTTGCAGGATACATCAGTCTAGGTTGGAGGTTGTTTTCTTTTAGTACTTGAAATATCTCATTCCAGGCTCTCCTTGCCCCAAGGGTTTGTGTTGAAAAGTCTGCTGTGATTCTGATGGGCTTTCCTTTGTATGTGATTTGTTTCTTTTCTCTTACTGCTTGTAGTATTTTGTTCTTCTGTTGGGTTTCTGGGATCTTGATTATTATATGTCTAGGTGTAGATTTTTTTTTGATTGTAGCTAGTTGGGGTCCTATATGCCTCAGTTATCTGAATGTCAAATTCTTCCCCTCTGTTTGGGAAGTTTTCTGTCATTAATTCTGCAAACAGCTTTTTTAAGTCATTTGTATTTTCTCCTGCTACTTCATGGATTCCTATCAGTCTTATGTTATTCTTCTTTGCATCATCTAGGAGTTGTTGGATCGATTTCTCATGATCTCTTACTGTTTTTAAGAGACCTCTCTTTTCATGGTCACTGACTGCAATCTTATCTTCTATATCTGAGAGCCTATCTTCGCATTCTTTTATTCTGTTGCGTACACTTTCAATAGAGTGTTTAATCTCCTGGATATCTGTTTGAATCTGTTTTATGGATTCCATTTCTTTCCTATGTTGGGCGTTTATTTTTTCCATTTCTTTCTTATGCTGGGCCTTCATGGCTTCTATCATGGTCCTGAGCTCATCTATTTTTTTGTCAGTTTCTGCTCTAGAGTCTCGAATCACGACTTCCATTTTGCTCACTATCTCTATGGTTATCTGGGAAATTATTTCTGTTTTGAATTTTTCTAGAGCCTGATTGATCTGTTTTGTTACTTCCTGTGCTTTGAGTTCAGGGTGTCCTGGTGGTTCACTATCGGCCTTTTCATCCTCATTTGCCCTACTGTTTGCCATTGGTGAACTGGAAGTCTGTCCTTGTGTCTTGCTTAAGTGTTTTCTCATTTTAATTTTTGTTGTCGGACTGTCCTTGGTTTAATCTCTGGATTATCACCCAAATCTTCCTGATATAGTTGCACCCTAGCTTCTGTGTCTCTAACGACCCACAGACATTCTCATCTTCATAACATCAGAGAAAACAGCTCATCAAATCAACGGCAATGCTTTACCCCAACTGATACAATCAGCAACACATTAAGATCAAGCACAACTTGGACACTGACCACCTGTGGTAGTCACTAGTCTATCACCCTTAAATCATTTGAATTAAATTGAAATCAAGAAGCAGTCCAGAACATGTCTGCAGTGAACAAAATTTCAATATAGTGTATTTACCATTTAATGTCTCAGCCAGAGCGAGGATGCAAGACCCCTGATCTCAGTTAGCTAATGGCTGAACCCCGTGGCGCTGACTGACCTCGGGCTGTAAGGCCCAGATTGAGTTCCCCATCCTTCTGAATGGTTGAACTCCACACCGTTCTATTACAGGTTTCCCATGCCCTTTATTTGAAGATGTTCCAAGTTGGGAATTCAGAAAAATACCCTTGATGACCACCTCTGCCTCTGCAGAGTGGGTCCAAAGACTGGCACAGTCAGGAGGTCTTAGAGTGTGGGGCAGGGGGCGTAAGGGGAGCTATGGGGGTTCAGGGGCGCCCCCGCGGCTACCTTCCTGGCACTGGAGTGATGGCGGCTGGGGCAAGAGAAGGTGTGGCTCTCCTTCCTGCGGTGGATCAGGGCCCAGGCTACCTCCCGGCACTGGAGTGATGGCGGCTGGGGCGGGAGCTAGCCTTTCATTCTTTACCTCTTGACACTGAAAGAATCTTAGTATCTGTTTCTCTGCCCCTCACTCATGGAGCTCTTTTATGAACATAGTACTTTGAATCTGTTAAAGCTGTACAGCCTTATTTCATAATATCATGGTCACTTTCTTTCAGGTTTTGAGTGTTCTTGGGAAGGTGGCCAAGAAGGATATATGGGTACAAGAACCTGAGTGTGAGGTATGTCTGACTGCTTCATTTCCATAGACTAGTAACAGGACATAAAACTCACATCTCCCTTCTTTTAGTCACTGATTTCATTATAGATGCACCTATTGAGGGGATATCCATGAGCAGTAGTACAGATTGGTTTTGTTTCTCCTTGTCAGAGCAAGAGTTTTCTGCTAATAAACATATTCATTCATCTAGGATGTTCCATCAGTTGAGATCACCCATACCTTCTTGGAGAGGAACCTGCCTTCTTTGCCTGGCCTTCTGAAGATCATTGGGATTTCAACCTCTCTAACTGCCATCTTGTTTGTGTTGCGCAAGTACAAGCTACTGCCACAGTCCTGAAGTTTCTGGCTTCCATCTTACTCATTCTCACCATCAAAAGAAAAATATAAATGAATTAAAGGCTGTGTCATTGGCCATTTAAGTGCACTTGATATAAACCCTCCTCAGTTTATTCTCAGTCTGTGTTAAAGTAAAAACAACTCAAAGAATTACCTAATTATTTTCAGTAAGATCCAGTTCTGTCTTGTCTATGTGACTGATTCTTGTTAACTTTGTAGGCTAAAACCTTGTGATTGCTCTGTTGATTTCAAGAAATGTTCAAGAGAAGCAACTTTCTTTTTCTCACCTTTAATGTAAAACATTTGATGTTTTCAGAAACAAATTATTTGGTTTTCTCTCTGTAGAAGTGGAGTAAGTTAAGACCTAGCCTGTGGCATCTTTAGGGACTGATGAAGTGTTGGTACAGAGCCCAGAGGCTTACAGCTTTCTAGAGTGACCAACTACCACTATGGATCAGGAAAATTGTAAATGAAAACAGTGTGGACAGGGACCTGCAGGCTCCAGGATGGGAGACATCTTGTGGGCTGCTGCCTCAGGAATCTCCTGACAACTTATGATTTCTGTGAATTTTCTAGACATCTAATCTCACAACTATCTTATTTGTATGTTTTCCTCTCTTACAGAGGAGAATGTTTACCAAGCTATCATGCTTAAATTGATTTTCTGTGACTTTTGTGCAGCTCCCTAGATGAACAGAGTAAAATAGTGACAGGAATGCCCCCGACGAAGCCTCCTTGACTATCTCCAAGTGAGACTGACAATGGGCATCTTCTCTTCCTTTTGGAATGTGGCTAGACATCAGTCCATCCTTGTCAGTGAAGACATTCTATGCTGCTTTCAGGATAACAGTATTTTCCCAGCTATCTGAAGGCCCCTTAGGGGCATATATTGGTTTGTCTTATGTTCATAGAAGTAGATAGATGTCTTAACTTACATGACTTCAACATAATTAATATTAGCATGCCAGTTCCTCTGAAGTACTGAAATATACATGAAAAATCCCTGATTAATACTTGAGACTGTCAAATACAGAAAGGAAATTAGGGGTATATATAACTTCACTTGCTTTAGTTTAGTTTTATAATTTAAATGATAGTGAGTAATTTTATAATATGAAAACTGAGTTCTTTCTCTTAGGAATAAAGTGGGCCCAGAACAGTACCCACCTCTTGTTTTTCACATTTCAAATACTCATGTTTTTAAAAGCCCTTTCCAAAGATTTCAAACTTAAAACATTCCCTTTTAAAAATGTTTTTATTTAAGAAGATTTAAATATTGCTAGAGGAAACCAGCCTACCCAAATCTGTTGGAACATTAATTTTATCCTAAATGCAAACTTAAATCTCTGTACACTGATGTGAAGACTTAAATGTTTTCCAGTGTTTACTTAATCCTAAGAGCAAAGAGTTGGATTTTTCTGACACTTTTTAGCTTGCAGTTCAAAAGCATTTTAGCTAATTTAAGTTTTGAATATGTTCCAGTGTATGTGGAGTTGCTGTGTGTCATGTCAAACTGCAGTGAGAAATCTAGTCCCTAATCCTTGCAGTTGTTTCTGTTCACTTATCAATTAACTCACTCTTGACATGCCTTGAGAAATGTCAGTTTAAACTTCTGAACCTACAACAGTTTTAACAGTAATCACATTGTTTTTATGTTGAAGTCTTGGATTTTGGAGACCTCCCAAGGGTATAGTTTCCCCTCTTCTCCAAGTTTTTTAGAAAACCAAAGAGTTCATCCTAATTAGATAAACCCCCTTAAGCCACAGATTGGGTATCAAAACGAATGCCAGTCCAGATGTATCTAGATGTGAAATTGGAGCCGAGAACACCCACCATGTGTGAGCTTACCCCACACGAATATACCATGGATCTTTTCTCTGAGCCAGAGAAACAAAAGTCAGCTTAAGAGGCTGATAGAGCCTGGCTCTTATTGAGGGCATCTTTTTCACAATTTTGAAGTCTGTCATCTCACTCTGTAGTCAGGTTGAGAATTAGATTTTAAAAACTCACCTATTTGTCACAATCATCTGCTAAATAAGGTCTCATACTCCCCTGAACAGTTGTAAAGTGTGTTTCATTTAATTGTGAGTGTATTGTCTAATGTTCTGTATCTGAAATTTGCCCTTGTGCTACATGTGGGAATATGCATATTTGTGTGATTTGACATTGAAGTAAAGATTTTGCCTCTGTGATACTGTTCTGTTTGTTAATAAAGTGCACTACCACCCAATTCAGCCTCAGATCCTGTTTGGCTTATAGGTCTATTTAGAAGGCTCAGTGGCTTCTATAGCAGGAGGTCACATTGTGCCATTGTTCTCTGGAGGATAGGCTTTAAAAACCACTTGGTGCTGAGACTGCAAATTCTCAACACTGGGTTTGACTCTCCTGTTATTGAGGTTGGCTGGGAATGGATTAAATGCTGGAATACTGTACTCAGCCTGACTGGGCCACGGATGTGGATTCTGAGCCAAGGCTTCTCACCTAATTAGCTTATAGCTTGGGCATATCCCTTTGGTTCTCTGCCTCAGTCTTCCCATCTGGCAAAGGATGGGTTACCCCAGGCTTCTAAGGATTTTTCTCATGACAACAATATGTAATTTATATATTTTGTTACTAGTACTGTTTCTATTTTTGCCTGTTGGTATGGCAAGATATTTAGCCTTCCTGTATCTTTTTTTCACTCCTTGTCTGAAATTGGCTTCTCTGGAAACAGATTTTGAGATGCAGAGCCAAGGCAGAAAGTTTATTGGAGACAGAGCTCAGAAAAATCGCCTGAGGGGGTAAGGAAGGCACGATTGGGCAGGAGGAGAGTCTATAATGCAACAGCAACTGAGGCCTTGGGAGATCCTAGCAGGGAACAAGGAAAGCCCTTCAGAGTTGTCCCTCTTTGCCTCCATGTCCCTTTATCAGCCACCCTCTGGGAGGGGTACTACCTTGGTTGAGGCAAGACCAGAGACAGGTCCTAGTAAGGAAGTACAGATGGGAGCTGAGATCAACCTGTATTCCCAGCAGCTAGTATTTCCCAGGGTACAGAACCACAGTATCTGTACCTTTAGTCCCCCAGAAAATAGAAAATTGCCTTGTCATATGTAAAATATTGTGGACTTCAGCTTTTGTTTTATAGATAGAATGGAGCTCTCTCTGAATTTTTCCCCATTATATACAGGGACATTTACAAGGTTGTATTTCTGCACCATCTATGGAAAAAATACCAGGATTCTAAGGAAGCCTGGAAATGATTCAATTTCTATCTCAATAAAGGAGTACCACTACAGATTACTAACAAGGATTAAAGGGAAAATATGTACTGTATTTATGAACAGGAGTCCAAATCCATCTTCCTTAGGAGGTATGTAGCTAAAAATGAATAGTAGCAGGCATGAGCCATGGAGTAGTGGGGAGTAAGGCTGGCGTAGGAAGTAACATGTCCCTCTGAAAAGCATGTATCTTCCAATTCCTTTAAGTGATTGCTGAACAATCAAAACATCTGAACATTTAAGTTTGTCCAAATTGTCCTTAAGTCCCTGATAAATAAAAAGTAGCAAGTCCTTTGATAAATACAAATCACTTGAATGAAAAATTCTTTTTGGATGTTTTTTATTTTCTTGAGCAACAACATTAGCAACCATTTCAGAAAACTACCTGGACTGGGTGAGAGAGAACTTGGTTGGAAGGGCAGAGAGGAAAAATAAAGACACAAGCCCTCGTAGTCTGGCACTCAAGAAATAACCCTCTCCCCAAGATCATATCTCCTGCTATGTCCATGTCATGATTGATGAGAGTGGTGCCAGACTTTATTGGAAAAAGCTCATCCTCACAATGAGATAGAAATGGCCACTCTTCTGTCAACATTTCATCTGTGCTGGCTATGATTTCATTCCAATAAACGTTACATCGACATTGAATGGGTTAACTTTAAAACCATACTGTTTGCTCTGTGGCCATAAAAATCAAGACATGCCCTTAGCCAAAAGTTACTGAGATGTGGAAGAGGATGAAAACAAAGCAAGGTAAGATATAATAGCAACAGTTCTTCCTCTGTCAGCACTCAGGGTTTTCCCTTCTTTGCCCAATGCCATTCACTCCAGAGTTCAAAAGCAAAGCCAGGTGTAAAGGTGCCAGATTGTGTGAACTAGTTATTTTAAACTGGAGCCAGGTGTCTGGAAGTAGCCTTGGAGCCCTCACATAAAGACATTGGCTTTAAGGAATTTACTGTTCCTTCAAGATGTCCCATGAAACTTCCTAGTTAGACCTCCCTTAATGCACATATAATCCACAGTTTATTACTTATTTACACTCCACAGTCACACCTCAGTGGAAATAAAGTTCCTATTTAGTCAGCATCATATTTTTCATGAACCATTGGATTGATGGATAAAATTGGACGGAGTGGCATGGGTTTATGCTGGCGGGGGTGGGGGATGAAAGAAGTGCTTAAATGTCCCCAGAGCAGCACACTAATGAAAATTTTGATGGGTTGACACTACCAAAGTGAGCACATGAACCTCGTGTCATTTATTTACATGCTCTAGACAACCACTCTAAAACTCAGAAGACCTGCCTTATAGAGTCTGTAGTAAAAGTAAGATAATGCAGGTAAGGGCTTAGCTTACCAAGCACTCAGCATCAGCCAAACTGACAGCACTTTTTAAATGTTATTGGATGCTAGGTAGGCACCGTGCTATGATTCAGCACAAACAGTTGTAGACACCAAGCAGTATATTCAATAGGGGTCTGGTCAGTGCTGTTGCACAAACGCATAGGGTACTGTGAACACAGGCAAAGGAAATGAGATTTAAAGAGGGGTTACTAGGGTGTGGCCTCAAGTCTCCATAAGCATCTCTGCAGCAAATCAGAAAGGGTGCTATATAGGACAGAGAAAGTAAAAAACGGGTGGCATGGCTAACTGGTAAAATGTACCACAAGCATCATCACATCAATCAGTACTGAATGTTAAGACCCATTTGTCCTTTTGACCACATTCGTTCCATCAGTCTTTTACTGTCTCCTTTGTCTGCCCTGCCCTTTCATGTACTTGGAGATCAACCATCTTCCAGGCCCGTTAGGGTGCTGCCTACATTTGTTTTAAAAGAGCACCATCTTCTGGCCGAATGCCTCTGTTTCCTTCCAATAGAACCAGAATTCAAAATAGTGTCCTTGGGGAAACCAAGAGATGACACTTTAACCCTGAATTTCCTCCTGAATTTTGCCTGTGATCACTTACTTATACAAAGCAAACCAGGCTTTGTATTGTGATCACAACTTATCAGTTGTGACATGGGTCAAAAATATTCGTACTTAATATTCACAATCTTTCTTTCCTCTGCCCTCTTCTCCCAGGAAGATTTTTTGGTTGTTAGAGCTGCTGCGCTCCTTGGCCTCCATTGTGTCCATCTGGGTAATAGGCAAAGAGGAAAACTGACAGGAGCTCAGAGAGATAGAAGTGCTTTCACCTTAGAAGGGGCAGGGAAGTAATTTGAGGAAATCAGGAGAAGGGAAAATTTCTCTGCAGTAGCCTTAACCATGTAGAGGGCCAGGAAGTAGGAAGGGAAACCCAACTTCCTAAATTTGACCAAGAGCATAGTATACTGGAGATCTACATGACTCTTCAAGCTTTGTGAGCCAAAATTTTGTTTCTTTTTGACACTATTTCTTTTAGATACATTTGTTTCTCTTAGACCACCTTTAGAGGATCCCAAAGCACCCTGGATTATTGGAGGCTATACAAGTTTAAAGAAAAAAACATACTGGGCATCTTGAGTAGTGGCTGAGTCCCATGGGTTCCATTTATGGGATTTTTGTGGAACTAAAATCAGTCTTAGCAATTCTTCCCTTGGCAAAATCAACACCCTAACGGTAAGATGTGTATTCCAGTCTAGGCATACACTAAATATGTCTGGGAGGTTCCTAGATTTACATTAAGGAAATGCACAAAATGGTCTGCTTGCCTGTGGTGTAGATTCCTCTGGCTCCCATGAGCTGTGGTATCACATCAACCAGCGAACATAGGAAAGGAAGTTTTAAGGGCCTTTAGATGGGCCCAAGAGGAGATGGTATTAGATTGGCCTGGTATTTAGACTGTGCAGAGCAAACCAGGCTTTGTATTGTAAAAGCAAGTTTACTGGGAGGTGGAGCCGATTCTGACACTCAAAATTCTTAGTATTACCCAATACACTATGTGCTACTAGTAAAATCAGCCAAAGGGCGCAGATGAGGGCAAAGGAGCTATTCTCATGAACAGCCCGACCGCCTTTGCTATGGCAGCCATTTGAATTTTATGGGCTTTACCATTGTTTTATTGCCCCTGTAACACACTACCCTACATTTAACGGTTTAAAACAACACAAGTTTTTGATTTTATAGTTGTGAAGATCAAAAGTTCAAAATGAGTCTTACAAGACTGGTTCATTCTGGAGCCCCCAGGGCAGAATCCATTCCTTGCCTTTCTCAATGTCTAAGACAGACAATATTCCTCGACATGTAGCTGCATCTTTCCCATCTCATCATCCACTCCTCACATGGCTCCTCCTGCCTGCCTCTTATGAGGACCCTTATGATTACACTGAGCTCACCAGGATAATTTCCCTGTCTAATAATCTTTAACTGAATCACATATGCAGTGTTCTTTTGCAGTAGAAGTAGCATATTCATTGGTTCCAGGATTATGATCTGAACATCTTCAATGAGGCATCATTCAACCTACCTACCACAGGCAGCTTGATGTTAGTTAAAAATGAAAGCTAAACACCAGCACTGGCCTGTC